ATATTAATTTCTAGTATCAGCTGACGTTTGCTGGAGCCACAGCTGTAAACCTGCTGGTCATGATGTCGGTTTGGATATGTGGTGAGAGGGAAACATGAAGATGAAACCAGCAGATGTCCTTACTGAATCATCAGAGCTGAACAGGTGATGGAGAAACAGGTTTACCTTTTAGGTGACATGAATGAGTTGGAGGGAAGTTATGAACTGTTTCTGAGAGACAACTTACACCAGGATCCTTTTCTGTGTAGCTGACAGCTGGTAACTGTGCAGGGGCGGATCTAGGAAAGTTTTGCCAGGGGGCCAGGTAGGGCATTAACAGGGAAAGGGGGGGCACAAAGAAATACTTTTCTTTCTTATTCTCATTTAAAATATCTCGCTTTTATTAAATAATTATCTAAATCTTACAACCAAAGTTTTTATCTGACGTAAAATGTATAGAAATCATACATATACCAAAAAGACAGTGTACATCACTGTCACAACAGCATTTGTTTTCATTCAAAGTCTTTATGGCTTTAATACCTGGTGGGCCGGTCTCTAGTCAAAATGCCCGATTTTCTGTCCCAGTCCAGCCCTGCAGGTTAATACTGGCTGTGTCACCATGCCAGCTGACTGTATTTCATCATCAGCCAGTGTTGTTCTTTATCAATATTACCAAAGTTTACCATAAGGCAGCATAGGAAGTATTTACTTGCTTTCAGGTTTTATTCAAATGTTAGTCTTTTCAGTTGTTTCCCCACTTTTTTCCTGTTTCAAAATCAAACACCAGTTTGTGAGAAGATTATCTTCTTTTTTTAACAGGCAGATAAAGTTTTACATTGGAATTGGCTAATTTGTCAATTGTTTGTTACAAATGTTCGTATTTTAATATTCAAAAATGTTTTTGCCCAAAACATATGTGCACTATATGTCAGTAAAAATACTATGCAAATATTGATGTCCTTGAATGCTGAGTAAACACTGACAAAGCACTGATTGTCAGAGGTGTGGACTCGAGTCACATGACTTGGACTCGAGTCAGACTCGAGTCATTAATTTTATGACTTTAGACTTGACTTGAAAAAATGTTCTAAGACTTGTGACTTGACTTGGACTTTTACACCAATGACTTGGGACTTGAATTGGACTTGAACCGGTTTACTTGAAAAGACTTGATATTTCACCCCAAATATAAAATTTAACATGCATATTATATAGAGATTGAAAATGTGACGTCATTCACGGGTAGAACCGCAAAGGATTCTGGGAACTCGTGGCAAGCGGTACTAGCGCACGCAGGCTTTCAATTAAAATCAGTCACACAGCGATAAAAAGAAACACAAAAATGTCAAGAAGCTGTTGTATTATTAACTGCAATAGCCGGTCGCATGACAGCCACGGGAAGCCGACGGGTAAAGAGATCGGTTGTTATCGGATTACGTCGTGGAAGAGAAATTGTTCGAGCCATGTTTCCGAAGTAACAAAGAGGCGACTGGATTGCAGCCATTCAAAGATCAAATATAACGTCCTAGAACACTCCAGCTCACAGGTTAGTCTGCTCCAAGCATTTACACAAAGGTCAGTCTGCTGTTGTAGTTAATGCGTCATTTTTCATAACATAATTGGTGATATAGGTTACAAGCAAGTCTGGCGCTGAACAGAAATTGTCCGCTATGCTCCTTTATTTATTGTGCATAAATAGTAAATTATCCTGACACAATATTGCGTTTCGCTTCTGTTATTATGGTACACTGACAAAAACACATACTTTTATTCACAGGATAAAACAGGTTTTTTGTATCACTAATTGCCCAGTACGATTACAGCATACAATATTATTGTCACTGCTACATTTCTGTGATGCTACCAGAAATTATTTCCACTACTAATTAATTACCGTTGAGCTCAAAGGTTATATTAATAAACGGTTAACGAATGTGTATTTATGAAGACGATTTGTGAGACTGGTAAACTTATGATACGTACGATGGTCTTTCGTTCTACACGGTGCATTTCAAGGTCCTGCACCCATCCGTCGGTAAACTGTACCTGGGCTTGTTGCAGTGACCGGAAGTTACTAAACTTCATGAGTGTATGCACTCACTCCAAGAACCGTATAATTATAAATATGCATATAAATATGCTAAGATGAGATAGCTGACTTCATCTAACTAGCAAATGTTTTCCAGGCTACGTTGGTGATACAGTTTTTTTTAATGTGTATGATATTTTTGTCATGCGATTTTAAAGCTGGTCCTACAACCGCATCCAAGAATAACATGCAGCGTATCTCAGAACTGTCGGTGAAAATTATTCTTGGAGCTAAGTTTAATTGAGCTGCATTTTAAAGAGGTGCAATTTCACAATTTGTGTATATTTTCTAAGTTCACTATTTTGTATGTGTTGAGAAAAACACAGATTTTAAAATTACATGGTCTAATATTTACATTTAGCATATAACTGCAACATTATTTTTTCGTTTGTTTTTTTTAAAGACTCGAAAGGACTTGAAATTCAAAGTTTCAGACTTGTGACTTGACTCGGACTTTTACACCAGTGACTTGAGACTCGACTCTGACTTGCCTGACATTACTTGAGACTTGACTTGAGACTTGAGGATAAAGACTTGAGACTTACTTGAGACTTGCAAAACAATGACTTGGTCCCACCTCTGCTGATTGTATCTCTTGTACTTTATCAACGCAGTATCTAAAAACTTTGCACCGTAGTGGTTAAAATCTCATTCTAATAAGAGTTAAAAGCGCATTCGGTTATTAGGTTTATAGGATTATTGAATTATGGTTAACGGTTGGTAGAATTTTTTTTAAACATTATCTGCCAATTACATCTGCCACCCTTCTCCAAATCTGTGCCCCTACCTGGCCCCCCCAACAAAAATTTTCTAGACACGCCACTGCTTGACACAACTTATTTGTTTTTTTCTTCTACATCACTGTTCCGTTTTATCCAAATTTATATCACACCTTTGTCTGATTATACATTCCTTTTTTATCTCTTACCTATTAATAAAGGAGGCATGGTGTCGCGCTGAGAACCTCTGTTGTCTTCGCTAAAGACAGTGCTCCCATGTGTTACATATGTGTGTAGGGGGCGAAAGCGTCATAACACCCAGAATATGACATGCTGAGTGTGTTATAATAGTTTGAGCTGATAAACTCTGGGAGTTGTGACAGCATGAAGGGAAAAAAAGAGTCAGTATGGTGTGGGTTTTTTTTGTTTTAACATCACACGTGGCAAGGTCACATTTGGCAGACCAGAAGAGGCACCTAAGAGGGAAGAGGGTAGTGAGGCCAAGAGGAAGAAAGGAGGCTCCAGCCATCTGTCAATACATACAATGCAATGTGTGATAAACAAGTCTGAAGATATGAATCCCACAAGCTGGTCTGTAAGAGATTGAGAGCTAATGATATTCTCATTGCTGCAGTGAGGGAAAATTGCAACTGTCGGTATAGAACTCAAGTTGCATTTGATTTTTAGTTTTATTTTTTTGTCGTGTAATAGAGTCGGTTTATTTTTCTTGCTTTTGTTTTTGTTCCTTTAAAATTTAATGCTATTTACCATATGGGTAGGTGGAATGTTTCTAGCCTCACCAAAGGACGGCACCACTGATCTGTCATCTGGGTCATTTTTATAAATGCGCATTAGATTAGAATGACATTTTTGTACATCTGTTCATAGCTTCTAGAGGATGAACACCGTTGACTTCTCTCTAGTGGTAGCCTGACATTTATAGTTTTTTTGAGAGGGAATGCATTGGTATAAAACTTCCTATACAGTTGTTGTTTCATCAGGATTTATTAGGCTATAAACACCCCCTGACTTTCTGTCTATCACTTTAAGGGCTTAAAATAAGCGCTTCCCTTAAGACTTTCTACTTGCAATAAGGCTATGTTAAAAATCAGTCGGGCCATGCCTGTAAAGCTAATTTTCATTCATCTTGGTGTTACTTTGTGATCAGAGCATTTTACCAATTTGAGCTGAACCCATAAATCCAAGATATGATTAATACATTCAGAAAATTTAATAAATAATTTAGCATTTTCTTTCTGCTGCTACCTTATTTAACCCTACTGGGTTACCAGAGTGGAAGATTGACGTCTATGATTTGGTACAGATTTTACACCAGATGTCTTTCCATACACTTGTGTTGCATAATTTCTTAACACAGAGCCACTAAATACAGTAAATCATTTAGGAAAAGTGTCACATTTCACCAATTGTCCTCTAGAGGGCGTTGATGAGTGGCTGTTTTACCAGCATAATGTCCCTCTTACTGTGTTTGTTGGTCACAATTAAAGTTTCTCTTGGCTGTCCATGTACAGTGAAGCATTCCTACTATTTGAAAAATAAAATGTCTGCTATACTTCAGCATATTAATCGCCATTTTGATGTATAACAATGACAGTGTTTTTTTCCCCCTTTGGCTCAGACTACAATCTTTAAAGGTAAAAAGAAAATCTCTTTGCAAGAAAATCCCTAAACAAATGTGATAATTGTATTAAAAATGTAAAGTTCTCGAATATTGACATCAGATTAGTATAGTATGGTAGTATGATAGTCTTCAGACTTGTTACTCCTCTTTCCTGAGGTTCTTTCAAACAGTGAGCAGCTGCCATCATCAATGTTCTCTCAGCTTCCTTAAACCCTGGCAGCCTGCACACCACATGCTGCTGCTATCCACTATCCACCTGGTATAAATCCATCACTTGGCTAAATTGATTAGGTTGTATGTTTAAAAAAATATTTATAAATATGACACAAGTCGGCTTTGTTTATTTTAATTGTTTAATGTCCCCACATGCTGAAAATGATGTTGCTCAGTTCTTCTTTTCATCCTTTTTCCTGTGATTGCCATGGTCACACACACCCAGCTAAGATGGCAAATATAAAAAGTTAATTATGAAGAAGCCCCACACAGATGTTGCTGTTGTTTGTCTGCATGTTTTCACTGAAGACAATGAAGACACACTGTTCACCACAATCTCTTCATGTGTTTTCAGGGTCAACCACCTGCACTATCCCCCTGATGGGTATGAAGAGGACCCTGAAGTGATTGGCTATGAAGATGGAGATTATGGGCATGACTACCATGGTGACAACAGGTATGTTCAAGGATGTGTTAAATCAGCTGTCTGTCGTCCCTGTCACATGGCTTGTGGGTGTTTCCTCCAAATGTAAACACAAAAAAAATCTTAAAATATCACCCACAGTGCATGTGGCGTGAGGTAGGCAGCAATTATTATTTATATATGAAAACTGTTACATAGATGGTCATTTAGACTGTACTCTGTGTGTGTGTGTGTGCGTGTCGCTTCATAGACAAGATTAAGTGTCATTTCCTCAAAGTGATTTCCTGTTTGGATGGTAAGATGTATTGTATAGATATTGTGTTATGAATGAAATGAGAAAATGAGAAAATATACACTTATCATTCCTGTTATCGGCAAAGCATCGGCAAATAACTGTAATCAGAAATTGAAAACTGGAGATGATTATAATAGCAATCGCTTGTAAATGATTTATGCTCCCCCTAACTCTCTTGATGCGGCCAATTCAGGGTGAAGAGGAAATCAAGCAGCTCACATTCCCCTCGTCCAAAGAAAAGGAAGAAGAAGAAATCTGGCCGTCGAAGGAGTCGGTGAGTGGAATAGAATAGAGTAGAATAGCTAGGGCTGGGTATCGTCACTGATTTCTAGAATCGATTCAATTCCGATTCACAAGGTCCCAAATCGATTCGATCCACGATTCGATTTAATTCGATTCGATTCGATTTAAATCTGGGAAATTTTGACAGTCAGAAGTATAATTCAGATCAGAACATTTACATATTTTTGTATCTATAAAAAGGAAGCTGACACTCGCAAGACTTTATCCAAGGTGTGAGCATCACAGCAGATGCCTTTGTGTCAAAGTAGCTGAAGATAAAACACAGAAAAACATGAAGGTGATTTTCCTGGTCTGGGATTTTATAAAAATATTCTGCAGTACATCAAAAACGAAAGAAAACCATTAATTAGTGAACATTACCTCTGACGTTACAGCGGTTTTATTAGACACACGGCTAAGCATTTTGCATTTTGAATAATATTAAAAAGTTTAAATTTGTTCAGTATTGAACAGCAGAAATGAGGTTTTCTTTTCGGAAGAATGTAAAAGGGAAAAAAACAGCGGCCGACAGCGCTGTAAACAACAGTAGACTTGTGCGTAACAAGCAAGCGAATAATGAAGAAAGCGAAAGTGTTCGAGAGAGAGAGAGAGAGGGGGGGGGGGGGGGGAGAGGGGGAGGGAAAGAGGGAGAGAGAGAGAGCTGCGCATCGCAATGGAAGCAAAACAGTAAAAGAGTGAATTCATGACGATGTTTATGTGAAGCGTTTGGATCTTCTTTTGCTGCTGGTTCGGTCAATATTGTTTGGAGAGAGATCAAACTAACAGCTTTAGAATCAGCGCATAAAGGGCGTGAACACAAAGCGCGGACCCGGATCAGCGAGCTGTCGGCTTTCAGCCCCGACTGTGAGAAAGGCGACATCTAACTGATTCTGATCCGCGGGTCGCGCTGTGTGTTTAAGTCTATGTGCAGAATCCCTGTACCTGCTCTCATTTACTGTTTGGTGGTTCTTGAAATTTTGTGAGATGTCACCAGAGATTCTGGCATTTCGGACAAAATAAATTTATATTAAAAAATCGATTCAGGATTTTAATGAATCGATTTTACGTTATCCAAGCCAGAATCGATTTTAATCGATGAATCGATTATAAAAACCCACCCCTAAGAATAGCCTTTATTGTCATTGTACAGACTACAACGAAATTGGAGTGCCGCTCCCTTGGTGCAAGTTTCAATAATAAATATAAATGTAAAATATAAAAAGTACAAAAAAAACCCCAAAAAAACCCAATCGTAAGTACTCAAACAATAGTATGTACAATATATACAGGATAGCAGCATTAATATAATGACAGTATGAATAGCAGCATAATATAATGACAGTGACGGTATGGAATAGGTTCAATTGTTTTTGTGCTTATTTACTACGGTGATAGCTCTGGGAAAGGAGCTATCCCTGAATCTGTTTGTCCTGGTTTTATGTGACCTGTACCGTCGGCCTGACGGTAATAGTTCAAACAGTTGATTGCTGGGGTGAGAGTAGTCCTTGATGAAATTGCCAGCTCTGCTGAGGTACCGAGAGTTTGCAGTGACCTCCAGGCTGGGCAGAGAGCAGCCAGTGATCTTCTGGGCTGTGTTGATGATCCTCTGCAGTACTTTCCTGTCCGCAGCTGAGCACCCTGCATACCATGATGTTATGCCGTACGTTAGGATGCTCTCTATGGTGGCTCTGTAAAATGTCACCAGCAGCCTCTCCTCCAGGTTGTTCCTCCTGAGCACTCTCAGAAAGCGGAGACCCTGCTGGGCCTTTTTAACCACCACCGTGGTATTTGCAGTCCAGGAGAGGTCATCAGAGATGTGCACGCCCAGAAACCTCTGACAGACTGTGGTCTATTTGTCAGGAAGTCCTTGATCCAGAGGCAGATGGGGGTGGAGAGTCCCAGGTGAGACAGTTTCTGGACCAGGATCTCCGGGATGATATGATTGAATGCTGAACTAAAGTCCAGGAAGAGCATTCTCACATAGCTTCATCAGTCCTAGATGTCGCCTGGTTATTGCTTCTGTAGTTGGTAATGTGATTGATCCCCTGCCACATTTTTCTGGGGTCATTGTCAGCAAAGTGATCTTCAATCCTCCTCCTATAGGCAGCCTTAGCTTTCCTGATGGAAACAGCTTCCACTGATCGCTGATGAAGTGGTTCGATTTTGCTCTGTTTTCCTTTTTTTTTTTCCTTTCGCCAGCTCCGCTGACAGAATAATTACACTGGTGGTTTTGTAAAACGGAATTCCAATTATTTTGGTGTGAGTATCACAAATGAGCCATCAGATATCGCGACTGTGCATGGGGGTGGGGAGCCATTAGCAAAGCACACCCTCATCTCCCATTTTCTTTTGACAAGGTCAGGAAAAGAGGGGGAGTAAGATTGAAATGAAGAGACACAGAGGCATTAGAGAGCAGCCACAATAAAAGGAGAAAGGCAGAGGGATGAATAGAGCTGAGAGAGAAATCAGCTGAGCCACTATAAGATGATACCTTTGCTCATAATGACCCTATCTGAGGGGTAATGTAATGCAGTGAAAAGCCACAGTTTAACATCTATCTGAGGTTCACTTAGCAGTCACGTCATGTATCCTTCTCTCTTATCAACAGGTTTGGCAGCTTCTCACCCACTCACAGAGAGAAGAAGAAAAAGAGTGGGAAGAAACACAAGCGAGACCGGTGAGTGCGCACATGCACGCGCACGTGTGTGTGTGTGTTTGCGTGTGTGTGCAAAGGTAAAGAATCTGGATTTTGAAGGCTTTGATCAACAGTTCGCCTTGTGATGAAGCATTTTCAGCACTGTAGTTCATTTATCCGAAATATTAAAGGAAAAGGGAAAGGTGAAAATGAGGCTTGGAAGAGACCCCAAAAGCAAGCGCTCATCAACAAAAACTCTAGGTGCCTTGGGATATCATAACAGCAATAAGCAGTGGTAGAGTGGCCTCTTCCTCCTCTGGTTTCCCTCATTCTCTGCCTGACTCAAGGGGAAATGGGCTAAATGTGTTGCTCTAATAACCCAGTCTGTATGACGGGGCGCACAACTCAAGAAAAATGAGCCTCTTACTAAATTGCTGAGCATCACTGCGCTGCCCTGCTCTGCTTTCCCTCCTCCATCCATCCACTCTCATCCCATTTCCCCCATGTCCTCTCTACTCATTGCCGCGCCTCCGTTTCAGCCTCACAGCAAGGATGTTCTGCATTGCAGGTGCTGCTGATATCAGAATGCCTAGAACAAGGAAGCAGGAGGGCGACATACAACGTTCCTCCAAAGAGACATCCTCCTCTGATGCTCTTCTTTAAGATGCAGATTAGGAAGGGGAGGGGGTAGATTATACGCAGTCCTGTCCTGCTAACATTTCGCTGGTCTTTGTTTCTTTAAAATAGCAGCGGGTTGATCTCAGGCCATTTGGGTGCATATTTGTCTCATAGCTATACTGTTTATGCCCTTGTGATAAACGTTGTGCCGTGGCGAGGGATTCAGCTGTCACCAGAGCTTGTGACAGAGGAGGAGAAGAATGTCCTCTCCAGAATAACACCTCATACACAACAGTCCCTACCTGAGGCCCTTCGGTGGGGAAGCATGGGTTGTCACGAGGGCCACAGCTCTCAGTCACATACCAGCCACATTTATTACTGTGACAGCTTTATTACTCCTCCTTTTTCAGAGCATCAACAAAGTGCTCCCTCCCACTCTGTGCTGCATGCTGTAGGTGTGTAAAACAGCATGGGAGATGTAGGGCTCTTCAGGAAAATAACTTGCACAGGCCGGCCTGAGTAATCACCATGGAAACTGCAATGAGGGTGAAAAGTGATAGGAAGGTGATGTGTCAGTCCTGTGCTGAAGACTGAGGAATAGCCCATATCCTGCTTATTATGTTAAAGGGGCTTGGCCAATAAGTGTGGCTTTATTGTAGGGAGCAGCATGTTCTACTAAGTGTGGTGACCAACACATGTAAAGTACAGAACTGCTGTTAGAGCTCCCTGCATATAGATGCATGTGATCCAGAGTGCATTGTTTGCTGAAATATCCCACCCCTTACCTTCCAGGAACATTTCTTACAGTCTTTTGTTGGTAAAGTTGATAAGACCAGGCCTGACATCACTCCCCTGCCTTTGCAGGGCTCTAGACTAACTTTTTGCCATGGGCGTACCGGTATGCCTAACTTTTTAAAGTTAGGCGTACGGGCACAAAAGTTAGGCGCACACAAATTTTATAATAATTTATATAATATATGTTTTTCTGGATACACTGTGCTTTTACAGCATTCAAAGACTGATGACACCGTGACAGAGCACTGGCTATGAATTTCAGAAGGATCAGGCCTTAACTTAACAGAAAAGTTAGCAATAGTTCTTTTCCTATTACAGCTACATCCACTTCTGTGGTGCCTAGGCTGCTCACTAGGGCTGGGTATCATCACTGATTTCTATAATCCATTCGATTCCGGTTTTCAAAGTCCCGATTCGATTCAACTTAGCCCCAGACAGTCAGAAATATTATAATTCTGATCATTTATCAGTACTGACTTCATCAGAATTGTGAACATCACAGCAGATGCCTTTGTGTGAAAGTAACTGAGAATAAAACACAGAAAAACATGAAGGAGATTTTCCTGGTCTGGCTTTTTATAGCAGATAACCTTAAAAATATTCTACAATGTTCTGCATATAAAGTTTAAATTTCTTCAGTATTGAACAACAGAAAAAATAAGCTTTCTTGTCCGAAGTCATTTAAGTGAAAAAAAGAAAAAGAAAAGAAAAAGACAGCAGCCGACAGCGCTGTAAACAACGGTAGACTGGTGGGTAATAAGCGAATGAATAATACAGAAAACAGAGATTGGAGACGGGAAACTGTTCTTGAAGTACAGAGATAGATAGAGAGAGAGCTAGCTGTGCATGAAGTGTGATTTTAATAGTCGTGGAAGCAAAACAGCAAAATTCATGACGACATTGATCAAATGTGAAGCGCAGTTTGCTGCTTCTTTTGCTGCTGGCTCGGTGAATTATGGTTGGAGAGACAAAACCTGCAGCTCAGAATCGGCGCAAAAAGACGCAATCACAGCGGACCGGACGCATCAGAATCGCTAAGCTCCGACAGCGTGTCTGTCTACGGGCCGTCGGGTGAGAAAGCCGAGAAAGACAAAGTTGATTCTGATGCGTCGGTCCGTTCTGTGTTTACGTCTTTGTGTGGAATCCGTGTACCTGCTCTCGTTTGCTGTTTGGTTGTTGTTGAAATGGTTTTGTGAGCTTTAATCTGAGAATCTGGCATTTCTGGCAAAACACAGTTATGTTTAAAAGTCGATTCAGGATTTAATGAATTGATATCGCTTTATTCAAGCTACTCACCTCCCACTTCCACCTGCACTTTCAACTGGACCACGGCCAATCAGGGAGGTCCCGCCCCTTACTATCTCTGATTGGTTTAGTCCACGATAGGGGCAAAATGTGTGTCTGTTGTTGACCACAGGGAAGGTTGCAGATTTTATTTTATTTTTTTGCTACCCAAACAGTTGGTCGCACAGGTGCAACCAAATATTTTTTTTTAGTCGCACCACTGAAAATTTTGGTCACATTTGCGACCAAATTGGTCGCACTCTAGAGCCCTGCTTTGATCCCTCTGTCCCACATTTTCTGCTGTTTTTGACCATTTCTTTCTTTCTCTACTTTGGCTGAAGTGAAGCCCAGTCTGTGGTCCTGAAACAACCATTCAAAGAGGTCTTTGACACTTGGGCCTAGTGTGCTATTCATAATTAACAGCTGTCTACTGGCAGCCAGTTTTATTTTATTTATTTATTTTTTGATAACTTTATTTATGATTTTCCAATGTGACAAAAATACAGAAAAATATAACTGGAGTTGCGATTACAAACATTGCCATTGTGAAACTGGTTGTGCCACGCAGGAAAATGTATAATGTATGGACACAAACAAGAAATACTACCATGTGAACAAGGCAGAAAACACCAAAAAGCAAACAAACAAACAAAAATAAAATAAATAAAGGGGGGAGGGGGGGCTGCATTGTGTGCAGTTCTTGTTGGCTTGCTACAGATAGTAGGTGGCTTCAAAGAAAAAAAAAACCCACAGATAAAAGCAGTAATACTTCAGTAAATCACAACTTCTCCACATATTCAATAAAGGATGACCAGGTTTTGTAGTATTTACTTTGAGACCCTCTCAAACTGTATCTCAAATGCTCTATCTACCTCTCTACCCACTGAACAAACACTGGTAGATCGGAATCCTTCCACTTAAGAAGAATTAGACTGCGTGCCAGGAGAGATGAGAAAGCCACTCCATACATTTAATAAGAAGCTATACCGTGTTGGTTTAGGAGGACACCAAATATGTGCTTCATATGTGTTTTCCCACACACATGAAAAAGCTTTAAAAACTAATTCCCAGAACCGGTTCAAATCAGAGCAGGTCCAGAACATATGGCTCATAGTAGCAGGTGATTGCTTGCACCTCGGGCATCCATTATCAGAGGTATTGTATATTTTGGCTAGTTTAGCTTTGGTTAGGTACGCCCGGTGAAGGATTTTAAACTGTATTATACAATGCCGTATACAGATTGAGGATTCATGGATCCTGCTAACACTAAGGTCCCATAGGTCGTCTGAGATCTGGAGGTTTAAGTCCAGTTCCCATGCGTTTCTGGCTTTGGACACAGAGTCTGCCTTTGTATGCTGCAATGTGCTATATATTTGAGAGATATGGCCTCTAGCAATAGGTCGAAATTGTAGACAGTCCTCAAAGTGGACAGTCAATAGGTAGACTTGGATAAGAAGTGAAGTCTTTCCAGTAGCTCACGTTGGTCTCGTGGGAGTATCTATGTTCCCCAAGAAGGAGTCAGCCTCTGAATTATCAGTGCGGGAAGTATAGAGATCCTGATAAAATAGCTTAATTCTGTCAGGGTGTGTTACCTCCTGACTGGAGTATAACTGTATGTCAGGTATAGATTGGGCTGTGGCGGATTGACAAAGCTGATGTGAAAGATATCTACCTGCTTTTTCACCATGCTCGTATATATGATATCTTGATCTAAGAAAGAGCTTCTCAGTTTCTTTAATTGAGAGGGTGTCAAATTCAGACTGAAGCAGTACCCTCTGCTTATATAAATCAGCGGTTGGACAGGTAACATATTGTGTGTCAATGTTTGCTATAAGCTCTGTCAGTTCTCGAAGCTGTTCATTTTGCTTTTTATTCTTATAAGACGCAAAATAAATAATTTGGCCCCGCAGATATGCCTTTAGCGACTCCCAAATTATAGATTTTGAAACATCTGGAGTGTTATTCGTTTCTAGAAAAACTCAATGTGGTACTCAATGAACTTGCAAAACTCCTCATCTGACATTAATGCTAAGTCAAATTTCCAGAAACGCTGCCTTGTGCACACATTTGAAAATGAGATATCAACCTGTACTGGTGCATGATGTGAAATTACAATTGCATGTTATTTACACATGGTGACCCTTGGGATAAGGAAATGATCAAAAAGAAAATAATCAATCCTCGAATACAAATGATGCACAGGGGAGAAGAAGAATAGTATTTTGCTAAGGGCTCAGTGATACGCAGTGGATCTGAAATACCATAGTTTTGAAGAAATGTATTCAGAACGGACACTGATCTGGAGGTCCGAGTAGACTGATGTGGCTTAGACCTGTCAAGGTTGG